AGCTGTAAATCTGTGCTGCCAGAGCTCTAGCCAGAGCCAGCATGCCCATTTCCCTGAGCAGTGACGAATGGGGAGCCTGGAGACAGCAGGCAAATGGCTCATTTCCATGATTTATCTGTTTGTTATGGGATGCCCATCGCTGCTCCCTGCCTCTGCACTTAGGCTGGGGCACGCTCTGCTGGGATAATGGGTTGTGGTTCTGGAATTGCTCTCTGCTAGCAGCACCAGCATTACCTCCTGGTCAGCACTTCACAGTGCTGCCTTGGGAAGAGAAGGGATTGATGGAGAACTCATCCTCCCCAATTGTTTCTGCAGGGCCTAGGGAAACTGACTTTGTTTGAGTTTCTGCACAGCTATCATAACAGCTCTCCTTGTTTTCACAAGTGCTTCAGGTCACTGTTCTGCTCCATTAATTCAGGCTCTGCTCACTGAAATTTATTCTGGACAAAGCACTGACATGATCCTGGGATTCCTTCCTCAGTGAGGATTGTGGAGCAAAAGGTGTTGACCTCAATAATATTCACAAATTTCTGTGTGTGTCCAAATGAACACGTGTTGAATTACCTGCAGAAATGACCAAAAGGTCAAAAAAATCTTTAAAAATACAGTGTGAAAACCATGACACCAGCTGAACCAAACTTCTCTGAACTACCTGAAGATTTTTTATTCTGTAAAGATTGGGGACTGAATCTTCACACAATCATCTCTAGCAAGAGGCCAAAAGAGAAGAGCCAAGCAAGATTCAACCCTGAGGTCAGGCTCAGGGTGGAGTGAAACAATTTCAACAGATTTAGGAAAATGACTGAGGAAAGGCTGTGTTTCAGTCAGAGAATCTGGGAAAGCATCCGAGACTGTAACACCCTTCTGACAGAACACCTCCACCTGCACCCAAAGCCACGGATCATACGTGCTCATTTCCCAAAGAAAACTTGGCTGGTTTTAGTTTTTCTGGTTCTGGAATGTTGTGATTAAGACTTTCCCTAGTCTGAGTACCAGAACCACAGAGGCTCAGATGGGCTCGTGTATCTCTAAGCCAGGTGCTCTGTGCCTTCCTCACTCACTGCTATGGGACAGGTTACAAAGTCTGACAATCCACAACCAGAGCTCCCAAATTTCCCAATAACGTGTATTCCACACATTTTTCTCCCAAATCCACACAGGCACAAATAATTTTAATCCCTGCCAAAGTCTTACCAACTTGGAAGGAGTGGAGGGTCCAGGAGGAGGCCTAGAAAAAAAAAGAAAGACAAAAGGGGCTTAACAAAACTGAGGAAACTGGGAAGCCACTTGGATTTTACACCAAGAATGGCAGTGAAAAAGTCCTGCAAGCAGGATAGTGAGGATAAACAAATAAGTAACCGAAAGTATTCTCACCCAGTTTTGACAACAGTTTCCTCATCCTCTGGCACACTTATGGAGCTGGAGGCTGTAGGAGAGGAAAAAAAACACACCTGAGCTGTAAGGTTGGGGTGCAGCCAAGGATCTGATGGGATAAAAAACTGCAGAGGGGTTGGAACTGCGCTGGGGCAGGGTGGGGCACGGGAGCAAACCCAGGTGACAATACAGGAACTGGCCGGCAGCTCCTGTGCAGGAAAGTGCTTTTCAATTATGGATGAGTTCAGGGCAATATTCCATGAGCTGGTATTAATAGGGCAAGGCTTGGCCTCGGGCTTATCTGCAGGGCCCGGACTGGACATTAACAGTTAGAGCCAGCCTTATTTACAGTGGGAATGATGCCACCATTCCAGATGGCTCTGCTGCAGTGAGCTCCAACACAGCCAGAACCTGCCATGAATAACCACAGAATCAACCACAGACTGGCTGGGGTGAGAAGGGACCTTAAAGCTCATGCAGTCCCACCCCCTGTCTTGAACAGGGACATCTTGCACTATCTCAGGTTGTTCCAAGCCCTGTCCAACCTGGCCTTGGACACTTCCAGGGGTGAGGGAGCCACAGCTTCTCTAGCAACACATGCCAGGACCTCACCTCCCTCAAACAGAGGAATTCTTTCCATATATCCCATCTAATTTTCCCCTTTTTCAGTTTGAGCCCATTTCCCTTTGTTCTGTCACTCCAGTTCCTCGTGAAGAGTCCATCTTGTTTGTTTAGTAATTCAAGTAGTTTAGATCATACTGTCCATGCCAAAATCTGCCTTTGCCACCAACTGTAAAACTGTGGGAGACTTTTAATCTATAAAATCCAGCCTCGAAATTCCCTTCTCAAACAAACTCTAGAACCAGCAGCCAGATCCTGCTAAGGAGAAGGGAGCCGGTGGGAATTTCACCTTGCAGGAAACACGGGTGAATCCATCACCCCTTTTGGATCCCCAAATCCTTCTCAGCTTTGCCAGCTGTCCCCACAGAAACTGGGAAGACCAGTTGACCAGAGGAGCTGTGGCTGCCCCAGCTCAGGAAGTGTCCAAGGACAGGTTAGGTTGCTTGGAGTGACCTGAGCAATCTTTAAGGTCCTTCCAATCCAAACCATCCTAGGATTCCAGGATTAACAACTTCTCCCAGCAAATCAGCAATGGTTAAATCTACATTGGAATGGAGACACTGAGGCTGATCTCCCAGGTGATTTACAAGGCTAAATTCAGTTACCTAGGTTTCTGTGCTCACGAGGGGCTCCAGAAAGCCAGGAAAAACTTCCATGAGGGATTGCAGCCTGTCTAGCCCCCACACTGAACACCCAGCCCCAGCACTTTGCTTTCCTCAGCAGCAGGAAGCAGCAGAACCTCTCCATGACACCCGAACTCACCATCCATGGAGCTACAGGACATGGGTCTCTTCCGAGCTGCTGCCTTCTTCTTGCCCGCTGCCCTGGTGATGGATGTCCGGATCATGCTCTCCCTCTTGCCGGCCAGGGAGTATTTCTCTGCCAGGGAGGTTCTGTGGCTCAGGGAGGCTTTCCCCATCAGACTCCGGCGCACGGAGCGGCGGCTGAGCCTGGAGCCGGTCGGAGTCCCCGGGCTGTTCCTCAAGGGCTGGGAGGGCTCCTGAGCCTGATTGTGTTCCTTAGGGGAGCCACCCCCCTCCTCCAGCCCAGCCCCTGGGCTCAGGATCATGGTGACATTGGCTGCCCTCTCTGTCTGCAGCTCGGGCACAGCCTGGCGGGCCTCAGGAGTACAGGGCACCACCAACTCAGGGGCTGTGGGCACCAGCGGTGATTTGGGAACACCATGTTCCTCGGGAGAGCCATTCCCTGAGCTCGTGGGGAGCAGCTCTGCCAGCTTTGCTCCGCTGCTCTGGAGAGGCACTGCAGTACCAACGTGGTCAGCTTCCACCCAGGGATCCTTCCCTGCTGTCTGCGGGGCAGGTGGGGTCTCAGGAACCACCTTGGACCTTCTGGCAGAGGCTGCAGCCCGGGATCGTGTCATTCGCTGTGGTGGAGAGTTCTCTTTGGCCTCGGCCCTGCTGAGTTCCAGGTTTTCTTTGTTCTGGAGTCGCTGAGAAGATCGCACAGAAGGCACCAGTTTGATGCTGCTGTTCCTCCTCCTAGAGAGGCTGATGACAGGAACAGTGGGTTAGATAGGAACAGGAGTTGGGAACATCCCCCATTCCTTCTGTGCATACACAGGCATGGAGCAAAAACACCTGGGATGGGCCCAGGAGACACAAAGCTGCATAAAGCAGTTAATACAGACAGTAATTAAGGGACGCAATGACTTTAAAACAGAAAGACAGTAGACAGAGGCACAGGGACACAGAACCAGGTAACAATAAAAACACTTCTCATGAGCATTGAAATCCAATGTTTTTCGGCTGAGAGTGCTCCAGACGCAGGGTCTGACCGGACCTTTAACACCAGCGGGACGTGCGGGACGAAGGAAGGGGAACTCCCATGGACAAAGGAGGGGATCGCCAGGACACGTTCCGTGGAGGGTATTGTTTCCATGAACCCTCGGCAGCAGGTCTATTCGGCATCCCACGGGCTCCCTCCCTTCTCCAGGCGCCGAGGACCCCCTCTGCGCTCCCGCTTTCCGCGGCCCGCGCCGAACGGGGCTCCCCGATCCCCGCTCCCGCCGCCCCTCACCGCTTCCTGCCGGGCTCCTGCTCTTCCTGCAAGGCTGACAGCCGCTTCCTCCGCTGTCGTTTCTTCTGCGATGGCGTCTTGGGCATCAGCTCGAGCTCCTCGCTGTAGTTGCTAGAGAGGAAGGGGAGATCAAGAAGGGATCAGAGCGAAGGACGGCAGGTAGGGGCCGGGGCCTAGCGGGGAGCGGGAAGCGAGTACCTGACAAACATCCTGACTGCCTCCTCATAGATCTCATCCAGCCACACCATATCGGTCTCGTCCACCTGCCGCAGGAATTGGGCCAGACGGCGGTCGCATTCTGCGGGCAGCTCCAGCGTCCGCGCCGCGGCCGCCGCAGGCCCCATCGCCGCTGCGGCCGCCTTCACCGCCATCGCTTCAGCGTCAACGGCCGCGCGCGCGCGGCACGCCGTTCAAACATAACCCCGCCCCCCCAGGGCAGCCAATCACCGCCAGCCGCCCCCCATGGCCTTCCCTTCCCATTGGCTGCCAGAGGAAGGGCTCACAGGAAGGGCTGCTCTGCTTGCCCGTCTCTATGGTCCTGGAGGACTCGGCTCAGAAGGCGTGGCTTGAGGAGGCGGAGCCACATAACAGTCTCTTTAATTGCTGGTGGTGACGGACGGGCGAAATGACCAATAACAGTCCGGAGATTGGGAGGTGCGCGCTGTGATTGGCGAAGGCCGGGGATAACCTCGGGGTGGGAAGGGACGGGTCATGCTGTGAGGGTGTGGTGAGCGGACGAGGCGGTGGCAGCAGCAGGTGCGGCTCTGGTCTGGCGGCGAGCAAATGTTCTGGAGGGTCCCTGGGAGTTTGGGAGGGGTCTCTTGGGGCGTGGAGAGGAGTCCCCCAACACTTATGCCCTCAGCCCCCATGCCAGGGAGCGCCCCGGTGCCTGTTTCTGTCTTTCCCACTGAGGGACGCGCTGGCTGCCCGCTAGCCTTGTTTTCTCCCTCCATGTTCCAGGCGAGGTAATGGCGGCGGGTCCTCAGCAGCTTCTGGAAGTGTGTGGGCAGCGCCTGTCCCGCTTCCTTTGCGATGCCCAGCACAAGCACCTGGCCTGGCTGCGGGAGGTGGAGGAGCAGGGCATGAGGATGCTCAAGAGGTAGGGGCTGCCCTGAGGGGACCCCTATGAGCCCACCTGAGCTGCCAACTGGTTATGGGTGGACTCAGGTGTGGGTGGGTTTGGTCCTGAGGGGACCCTTCTGTGCCCACCTGAGCTGCTAGCTGGGTGTGGCTGGATTGGGGTGTGGGTGGGTTTGAACCCCTGCCCTTCACTTGTTTTGGGAGGGTTGATGTGGGCAGTGGGGGAAGCAATCTGTGCTCTGCCTCTTCTGCCTCACAGCAGCTTCAGGGATGAGCCCATGCTCTTGCCCAAAACGCCATCGCAGCGAAGGAAGCTCAGGAAAAGGCAGTCCTCCTGGATGAGGGAGGAAAACAAGGAGCTAAGCAGGAGGAGGTAGGTGGGTCAGCCTGCTCTGGCTCTGCCTCATGGTGTTTGGATGAAACAAAACAGTGCCTGCATTCCCTGAGTTATCAGAGGTCCACATTGGGATTGATCTCTCTTTGAATTCTGGTGAGAGTTCAGCATAAAGTTGGCTGCTTTCCTTCATTTTTTTTTTCCTGGTTATAGTTAAAGAATAATAAATACTATTTTCTTGTCTGTTTAGATTTGGATTTTGTCTCATTGTGTTTGGCTTTTGATCTGAGTTTGCTGCTCCTGGTGTTCACTCCCTAAGCCTCTGTGTCAGTGCCTGGAAAACCTGGGAAAGGGTTCTGTTCCCAGCACCCTGTTCAATTTGGCAGGCAGGGAGGCTTCAAGGGTTTATGGAGGGGCTGAAGTGGAAACTCCAAGTGATTTGCTTAGAACCCCCCACACTTTTAAAGCTGCCCAAACTTGATCCGTTGGTGTGTTAGGGCACTAAAATCGTGCTAACCGTGGTGAAAAGCCCACAGGAGGAAGAGTTAGAGCTGGGAGACTGTCAGGAAGCAGACATGGAGGGTGGGGAGAGCAGCAGGAATAGCGGGAGTGTGGGAGGTTTGTGTGTGTGCGAGGGAGAGCAGGAAAAGCAGCACTGCAGATCAGAGCAGGGAGAGCTCTGGGCCCTGCTCTGGGTGTTCAGGTCACGCCTTCACCAGGGGAGCAACTCAGCTAACTCCTGTTTGTGTTTTCCCTCCTTTAAACTTAGTTTGGGAAGAGGTGCTGATGCCTGTCAGCAGGAAGGTGACACAGTGTGTCCCTCTGTAGGTGCTGTCCTCTGCCATGCACTGTTCCCAGGGTGGGATTTAAATCCAGACCTGGTGTAGGGCTAAATAAACCCTTCCCACTCCCATTTCTGCACACCTGACTGTGGATACCCAGCCTGGGCTGTGTTTGTGTGGCACAACCTTTGTGTGAGCTCCCACCTGGACTGTGTCCTTGTGCTTTTCCCCAGGGATAGGATGGGGTGGAGGGAGGAAGCAGCAGCAGCTTCACTCTTAACCCTCTGCTTTTCCCTCTGAAACTTAACTTGGGAGCCAGTGACTCCTTCATTATTTCCTTCAAAATTCTTTTCCTTTAAGGTTATCCCGAAGGAGGAGTGGTGTTAAGCTGCTGTCTTCCAGCCTGAATTCCCAGCAGGGCCAGGAGCAGCCCCGGAGCCCTGGCTGTGAGGGGCTGGATGTATCTGTGCCCAGCTGTGCTCTGGGATCTCAGGCTGGCATCACACCCCAGCTCCCAGCTCTGCCTGAGAAGCAGCCTGTGGAAGCACAAGTTCCCTGTCCCCAGGGTGCTGCTGGGGGTGATGCAGCCCCTCCAGCAGTTTTGGGGGAGCAGCTGCCTGAGGGAGATGCAGCAGCCGAGCTCCAGGAGGTCCCTGGGATCCCAGCTGAACAACCAGGAAGGGATGGGGAGCAGGACCCCAGGAGAGCCAGCACCTCCACTCCCAAGGCCGCTCGGAATGGTGATCCTGCTGCACTCCAAGGAGATGGATCTTCTCAAAGCCTTGAGACACTGCTCTTCCAGGACTCCCCCAGTAAAAATACAACAGAGAAATCCAGGATGCACCGCCGGAGTGGGGTGGGTGCCTCCCGCAAGAGCCATAGGGCTTCCCTGGCAGAAAAGTGCTCCCTGGCCAGCAGGAGGGAGAACATGATCCGGAGATCCATCGGCAGGGCCATGGCCAGGAAGGCAGCAGCACGAGAATCCTCCTCAGCCTCCAGCAGAGTGAGCTGTGAGTCCCTGCACTGCTTCCATGTGGGAATGGAGCGGTGTGGAGCGGCTCATCCCTGCCTCCAGCTCCCCCGAGTCCCCTTGTCCTTGTGGGTTCCTGGGGTGCAGCTTCAAGGCAGGGTGTTGCTGCAGCAGGTGAAGGCTGGGGGGCAGGTGGAGTTGGGAATGGGCAGAAAACACAATTGTAGAAGAGAGAGCGTGGCCAGGCTGGTTCCAGCCATGTGTGCCTTTGGATTGGGAGAAACTGCTGCATTCCCTGGGGAAGGGCTTTAATTTATGGCATCTGCCAGCTCTCCAAAAAATCAATAGGGCTGAAAGTGCAGCCCTGAAGTTAGGCTGAAATGGGCAGAGGAGCTCAAATGCTTTTTGGGTGAGGATAGAAGAGACAAATTAGCTGTGTCACCAGAGCAATAGGGGTCAGGGAGCCCAGGCTGTTCCTGGTAGCTCCGAATCCCTTGTATCTGCTATTCCTGCTGCTCCTGACAGGGTTTGGCTGTTTGGGCTTTCCAAAACCATTGCTGCTGCAGGCAAATGGGTTGTGGTGGAGCATGGAGGGCTCTGGAATTCAGCTTTGTCAGCCTTGAGTCACGCTGTATCCAGGCATTTGTTATAACACTTGGAGCGAAGGGGTGTGATGGGGGGGTGGAATGAGCCTGGAATCAGCCCAAACCCCCCGGATCTCTGCACCAGAGCGTGCAGGCAGGCAGGAGCTGCAGCCAATGGCCTGGGAATGCTGGCTGTGACACAGGCAGCTGGAGCAGGCTGCAGGCAGCAGAGCTGCTGCCTCGGTGCTCTGCCTTCCCAGCCCACTCCAGATTCAGTGGCACTCGAGGGAGGTGTGGTGCTGGTGGGGAAAGCTGAGCAATCCATGTTCCTGGGAGCAAGCCTGAGCTCTTCCATGTGCACCCTGTGGTTGTTGGGAGCCTGGGAATGAAATCCCCAGCTCCACTTAGGCTTTCCTCTCCAGGTCAGAGCTCCTTGGAGGCTTTTGTGGAAGAAGAAGGGACCAGCAGCACAAGGTGAGGCTGCCACAAAAGGCAGGTGGGAAGGGATCCCAGCACTCCCTGTGAGGACACTCTCCAGGTGGCTTTTCTGTCACAGATTTTGTCAGGAACTGCTCAGGTGTTGCTGTCACCTGGGGCTGGATGAGATTTCAGGCTATGCTGTTCAGGCACAGTGAGATTAAGTCCTTCCCTGGGGTGGGCAGTGGTGTGTCCTGGAGTTCCTGGAATGCTGTTGGTCAGCCAGGTCTGCTCTGGGAAAGGGACAGTCCAAGGCTGTCAGTCTCCTCCTTTCCTGCTATGGGGCCCAAGGTGGTTATTGGGTGTTCAGCAGCACAGTGGGCCAGTCCCTCAGAGCAATTCATGGCTCAGCTTTGATATGCCTGGCTGGAACAGCCTCTGGATGTGCTTGGGAACCTGCACCTTCCTTGGAATCCTATACGCTGCCTCCATCACCTGTAACTCGCCTTCAGAGAGAGTTTTTAAATTATTAAAATAGCTTTTCCTTTACAGGCCTGGGCTGGAGCCAAGTTCCCCGAGGGAAGAGGTGAGTTCCAAGGAACAGTCCTCGGATTGTGTGGATGCCTTCTCGCTGAGTCAGCTCCTTTGCTGAGGTTGTCACTGGATGCAGCAATGTGGCTGATGTCCCAAAATGAGCCAGCACAGCCCTCACTGGGAGGGAAGCAGACCCTATCTGAACAAGCAGCTGGCTTTTCCAGGCCAGCAGGTCCCTAGTAGCCTTGTTCTTTGGAGCAGCTGTGCTAAGGGAATGCTTGTCCCCTTTCCCTGCAGGCTCCTGGAGATGTCCTTGTTCCAAGCACAAGTCCACGAGCTGCTAGCCCTCCTGCACAGCACCTGTCCCCTCTGGAGGAGCAGGCAAGGAATGCTGCAGGTAACTTCCAAGTGGTCTTGCTTTCCTTGCATGAAACCCTCAGCACACACAGACCTAAGGGTCAGTGGGGAGTGTTCTTGGGAAATAAGGGGTTCGTGTTGAAACTGAACCACTTCTGACCAATCAAGGAAGGTGTCCAAGTAAAGTTTGGACCTCCTGAAGAGGTGAGACATGAGTTAGGTGGGCAAGGACTTTTAAATGTGTCCAAGCCATGAGACAAATGCTGCCCTGTCCAGCTTCAGTCTGGGCAGTGAGTGGGGACCTTTGGGAAGGAGGTCCTGGAGCTGGAGTCTTCCACAGAATGTCGTGTCCTTTCCCTCTGGATTGCATTACGTGAAGATTTAGAGGTCCTGATTATTTTCTGTGCCTCTGAGCAAGATGAAGTTGGGGGAGGGGGTTTTGTTCACTGTGGGAACTGCAAGATGTGACAAGCAGCTGGAGCTGGAATAGAGGAAAGAGTCCCTGGAGGGAGCTGGATGCCTCACACATGGCACTGACTGCAGGTTTCTCCACAGGAAGACATGTAAATCCCAGCAGTGAACCCCAGAAGAGCCAGGAGCAGCCCCACTGTGCCAAGTCCCTGGAGAATTCCTCCCGCACGTGGTAGGAGACCCTGCAAGAAGCAGGGATGAGCCGGGGTCTGGAAGGACTCAGGTTTAGCACTTTTAAGTCATTTGTGCTAAAAAGGGGTGTATGGGGGGAATGTTTCCCTGCCTTCCTCTCCCAGCTTCCAGTAGCTCTCCTGGAAAATGCTTTGGCCCGATCCTGTTTCTTGGAAGTCCCTCGTGGCTTTTGGAGCCTTGTTTGGGACTGGGTCTGGCATGGGGAGGAGCACCTCAAGTCCTGCACAAACCAGCAGAGGTGCCCTAGCACGGTTAGCTCAGAGCTGGGAGGGCTCCTGAGAGAGTGGTCAGGGAGCAAGTGGCTGACCTGGTTATTTTTGTCTGTGTGAGTGTCTGGAATGCCTGACCGGACTCCCAGAATACCTGATGTGTCTCCTCACTGCGTGTTGCTGGGAAGGTTTTGGGAGAAAGGTGTAATGGCCAGTAAATCCCTCTGGAGGGTGTGACAGACACTTCATGTCCCTCCTGCTAATGCCACCAGGATGAAAGGCTGCAAGCAAGCCCTGGGTGTCCTCTGGCACGGGCAGCAGACGGGGAGCCGGGTCCTTTCCCCTTTGGATGAGAAGCAGAAGACCTCAGCAAACCAGGCTCCGTCATCCCCCTCTCCAGCCAGCAAGGTGAGTGGTGCCACAGCCCTGTGCCCCCTGTCCCACTCAAGCCCTGAGCTCCTTCCCTCTCTCCCCACAGGCTGTCAGGCCACTGAAGAACTTCCTGCAGGGACAAGGGGGTGGCATCAAGGACTTCATCAGGCGCAACACTCCCACCCGGCCCCCCCTGAAGGTGCGTCATGTCTGAGAGGTGGGAGGAGAATGGGCTGCCTGTGCTGGGAAGGGGAGTTCTGGTGTGACTTACAAATCTTTTAATTATGTTTTTTATGTCCTTTCTCTGCAGGGAGACTTTGTTGTAAGTATGGCACCTTGTCCGTAGGGCTGACATGCTCTCCCCTCATGCCGATGTCCATCATCCCTCTGGCCACACCAGTGGTGAGGTGACAGGATCTCTGTGCAGGTGTGTTCTGCTGGGACTGGGCACTGCTTGGAGCTGCTGGCCTCTGAGCCAGGCTGCACTGTGCTCCCTCTCCACCATTCTCCTGGCTCCTGGAACAGGAGCACACCTACAGCAGAGGTCTGCTGTTCTTTTCTAAATATATTTTCTGCAGCTGAAGGACTGAAGTTTTTCCTTCTGTACCTCTACTTACATTGGATAATCCCTGTTGCCAAATGTGTTGTCTCGCTTCTTCTCACTCCCCATCCCGGTGTCCAGGTGAATGACTACAACAGTGACTGCGTGTACCAGGCTGTCTGAGGGGAGACACAGCCCCCAGCACTGGGTACAGTCTGAACTCTTCTCCCTTCAGGAGAAGGAGAGGCAGAGACTGGAGAATCTCCGGAAGAAGCAGGAGGCTGAGGAACAGAGGAAGAAGAAAGTGGAGGAGGAGAAGAGACGGCGTCAGGCAGAAATGAAGCAGTGAGTTGGGCCCCTTTCCCCCTGCTCTTTGCTTGGTCAGCACAGACTCGCCTTGTGCTTCCCACCTGGAATGAGCACTTGGGGAGCAGGCAGAGCTAAGGGGCCCCTCTTGCCCACGCGCTGCCCAGGAAACGTGAAGAGCGCCTGAGAAAGGCCCTGCAGGCTCGGGAGCGTGCAGAACAGATGGAAGAAAAGAAGAAAAAGCGTGTGGAGCAGAAGATCCTGCAGAGTGATGAGAAGGTGAGAAGGCTGAGTGGGCTTTGGGGCCTCTCTGAGAGCTGTGAGACCAGGAGGTGTGAGCAGGGCACTGGCAAGGTCCATGCATGCCAGAATCCCTTCTGACAAGGGGAAGGATTTTGTTCTCCGTCCCTCTGCACGTTCCTGTTGGGACAGGCCCTGTTCATGCTGCTCTGCATTCAGGGAATGTGGCAGTCCCTGCCTGCCCTGGGCACAGCCCTGCAGATGGCAGCCTCACCTGGCCCACATGCTTAGACTGGAGTGTGACTCAGGGTTTCAGAGCCTGACCTGGCCTTTTTTGGAGGGGCAGGCTGGGCTGGTGGCCACATGCCAATGTTGTTGCTGTGTTATGGCTGAGGGAGCTGTGCCTGAGGGCTCAGAGCCCAGGCAGCCTCTGGGTGAAGCCTGACTGCTCATTTTGGGCTGGACTGAAGAGACTTTCGGAAAGGTCAGCTTTGGAAAACAAGGAGTTATGTTACTTTTAGCCCTTCCTAAACCCTGAGTGGACAAACATGCATCCACTCCTTAGGATCTGGGATATTCCAAGCTCCAGAGCCCAGATATCCCTCCAAGGCTGTGAAGTATATCCTTGGAGCAGTGGAGCTGACAGGTGTGACTTTCTCTGGTGCACATCTCACAGGTGAAGGAAGAGAAGGTGGCAGAGGAGCGGAACAAGAGGAAAGGGTCCAAGAAACACGGGGAAGCAGATGCACGGAAGCAGAAAGCCCTGAAGGGGGTAAGAGCAACTCGGGACACTCCTGCACGTGGAAAAGGACAGATGTGTTGGTGTGGCTGGATAGGGACAGGTCACTGCCTGCTTCTGCAGGATTTTGGGGTCTGGGCTGCCACATCTCTGTCCAGGCAGCTGAGGTTGGGTTGGGACACAAGGGAGAGAAATGTTCCAGCTGCTGGAGCCTTACAGGGTTTTCCTCTTGTTTCTTCAGGAGGAAAATGAGCAGCAAGAACCACTGCAGAAAAGAAGAGAGGATGAAGTGAAAGAAAGAGGGAAGACAGTCTTGGAACTGAAGAAACTTCTGGAGCAGCAGCAGCTGGGACAAGCGAGGGAAAGGTGCGAGCTGATGCCTGTCCTGGTGCAGGGAATTGGACAAGGCCATGGGGAAGCAGTGGATGTAAATGTGATGTTGCATCTGGGCTCTGGAGGGACACAGGAGCAAGAGGCTGTAAGAGGGTGAGGGACAGATGCACATGCTGCCCTCTCTAAATTCTTTCTTTTCCCCCAGAGATCCCAAGCAGCGAGGGAAGGAGAAGCCCCTCCAAGCACAGCAGGAGCCAGCAGCATTGGCTGGCAAGGCCACCAAGGTAGGGTTGGAGTGTTTGGGATCAGGTGTTTTCCAAGTGCTGTGTTGCTGGGATGTTGTTTAGAGGATCAAATGCAATAAAATTCGTGATTGTTATTGTACAGAGGCACTGTGCAGGAACTGGGGGTTCCTTGGCTGACAGGTGAGCCCTCAGCACTGTCATGGTATGGTGACAGTCATGAAATGGCACTTAGAAGAACCCCCCAAAGAGCATTCACTGATCCTGAAATCAATGTGGAAATTAGAAATTTATTAATGTTTTACTGCCACATTTCCTCATTGTTCCCAAAGGATGTGACCCCCCCCAAACCTCGAGTGCCACATGGTTCTGTGTCGCTTTGTTTACACTCACACAAAGAACATTGGGGCTTTAAGTCAGGGTTGTTGGTCTTGAAAGATCACACTAACATTTGCTTTCACTCTCTACTCTTAAATTTATTGCTTCATTAGTGAAAAATCAATGCCCCAAATGGTTCTTCCTCTTCAGGATCAATTCTTCCTCCTGTGTGGGCTCCTGCTGCACTCCTTCCCTTAGTCCCTGGCACTTGGACTCTTTTGTGCTGTATAAGTTTAATTTAAGGTCTGAATCCTTCCTGTGCTGCCAGCAGCTGGGCCAGAATGAGACAGGCAAAGCTTTCCCAGGCAGGAAAAAATCGAAGTAACTCCAAATGCTGAGCAGCACAGGAGGGGGAAACTCTCTAGGAGAAATGGTTTGGGTCAAAAAGGAACTTCAGCAGTTAACTTTTTTTTTTTCTCTTTATTAGGGGAAAGAAAGTCCTAAAGAGCTGCCCCATGAGCATGGGCTGGGAAAAAGATATGAGCCACCAGAGTCCTTTTTCCCAGCTCTTAACATCTGGCTCCAAGCAGAGAGGGTGAGTGTGGGCTCTAGAGAGCCAGGCTGGCCCTGAGCAGAGACAGGAGTGGCTTTATCTGGGAGTCTTGGATTTGGGGTTATTTCTGCAGAAGCAGCCGCAGAGGCACTGAGGGCTGGATGTTTCCAGATTTGCCGAGAACACCGCTCTGTTTCAGAGTCTGTTCTGTGTGAGTGAGGAATGACTTAATTCCTCTTACAGGAGGCTGACGGTCAGCAGCAGCCGGGAGAGGAGAGAAAACCCATTCAACCAGCAGCCCCTGGGACATGGCCGAACAAAGCCGTCAAGGTGAGCTCCCGCCTGCTGTGGCTACTTGGACCCCGCGGCTCGGAGCCACCGCGGCCGCGCTCGGCGCAGGGAATCCGATGGGAAAGCAAGTGGTTGGTGGCGAAAAAGATGCTGGAAGCGGCCACAGGAGGGCAGCAGGTCCTGAGGCGACATCCCGCCAGGCAGCCGGGCTGTGCCCGCTGCAGAGCGGCAGGAAAAGCTGCTCGGAGATGGGATGCAATGACTGGAATCTGCTGTGGGGCTGTAGACTCTGTCCTGGCTGTGTCAGAGATCCAGTGAGGGGAAAATCGGCCTGACACAGAATATGTGGAAGGGGTTAGGTGTAGAGTTGAGTACTGGGACACGGACGGTGTGCCTGTCCCAGGTTTTTCCGCAGAAAACAGGAGGGGAGGCAGTGTTAAGAGTGGGTGTCAAGGCACAGAGCCCAGTGCCAGTTTTGTGTTAGTTCAGGGTTTGAGCACTTTGGAGCTCTGGTGGCCATCCCAGCCATGGAAGTGCTGCTTCTCTTGCTCATCACTGTTGTCTGTGTGGTTACAGAAATCCCTCTCCACATCCTGTCTCGGGTCCCTGAAGGGTGCTCAAGGACCAGGATCACCCCCGGCCAATGAGAACAGCTACGGGCTGGATCTGAACAGCGATGACTCCACAGATGATGAGAGCAACCCTCGGAAGCCTGTCCCTGCCTGGGCCGATGGTAGGTGCCAGCTCTGGGCTGGCTTCCTTTCCCTCCTACCCTGGAGCTTTCCAGCCTTGCTTGGACCCATCCCAAAGTGCAGTCCAGGGCTGTGTGCACCTCTGGCAGAGCTGGCAGCTCCCAGCTCTGTGTGCTGAGAGGATCAGCACTGCTTCCTGCAAGTGCTTCTGGGCTGAGGTGAAAATAGGGTCCTCTGAGAGGAAAGGGGGCTAGATAGATAGCACCAAGTCCTGAGCAGAAGTGGCGTGTGGGAGATGTCCCACCCCTCCTGCACAGCTCGTGGGTTCTCAGGGGGGAAGGGAAATGCTGGTCCTGAGCTGAGGCAGGGCCTACATCCGTGTGCTGTTCCTGTTGTTCCTGCAGGGGCGCAGCTCCAGCAGGCCATCGTGCACCAGTACTACCACCCGGTGGATGTGGATGCGCTGTTTGGGGCCATCCCCAGCCCCAGGCTGGAGCACATCTTCTACAAGAGCAAACCCCGCTACTTCAAGCGCACCAGCTCGGCCGTGTGGCACTCGCCACCCGGCCCCTCCTGCGGCCCTTCCTGCGCCTTCCTGAGCTGAGCCAAGACAGAGACAGGGGCTTTCTAGGGACTCTGTTCTACCTACCCTGTATTTACAGTTTTAACTTTTATTCTTCTTTTGTACAGAAATAAAGTTGTTTAATGAAGTCCGACACTCGCTGGGTGTGTCTCCTTTCCCATACCTTGGTGACTGTGCCTTCTGCCTTACAGAAATCACAGTTACTAATCTGCAACTAGAGCCATTTCCTAGTCTGCCTCATTTCCTATTCACTTAGGATACTCCCTTGTACAAGGAAGCTTGAGAATTGCTGTAAGGATCAGCAGATTTTTTAATCACAGTGAAGGGATAATGTTTTTGTAAGGCTTTTTTTATATATTTACTATATTTATGTATTTGCTGTCTTAATTATCTGCAATTCCTTTTCCTTTAACAATTCCTGTGCACTCATCTTAGTCTGAGCCAGAATGTTCTTCCTGCTGCTGGAAAAATCTCCCTGGACAATTTAAGTAGTGGCTAATGCCTCCTCATCCTTTTTTTTTCTAATGTAAATAGGAAGCCCGGGCTCAGCTCTGGATCCTGTTGTGGCAGGATCAGTGGGATATTCTGTCTTTAGCAGGAGCTAGGTTGAGTTGCAAAGGGTGAGGACAGGGATGGTTCCCCAGGGGCTCTGTCAGTGTGGCACCCTCAACAGCAGAGCTGTACCTATTCCACTCTTCCTTCCCCAAGCCTGAAAGGCACATGGACTGACAGGAGCAGGACTGAAAGAGAAAAGGCTCTGCCTATAAGGTAGATTTACAGAGCTAGAATTGCAGGAGCTGTCCTGCCACTCCTTCCACAAAAAGGAGCTGCAAGTGCTTGGAGCCCTCAGTCCCAGAGCCAGCACTTGCCTAAAGCGATTATCCTATCCAAAAGACATGCCTGGGAGTTCATTGGTGAGGGGGGGAAGACAGCCAGGTTCCTTCCCGCCCCAGAGGGCAGCATCTGTTCCCCAGCTTCCTCTGTGATGCTGCTTCACAACACGATGTCCCTATGGCCACCTCCACAGCGGATTGGGCGAGGAGGACACGAGCTCTGCTGCAGCCCAGCTCCAGTCAGGACAATTTCCCGATTTCGTTGGTGCCAATGGAGCCTGGAACAGTGGGGGAGTGGAAAAAAACCTTGGCGCCAACAGCTGCTGGCAGGGATGCGCTGCCAGGCTCCGGGCTGAGCGCTAATGAGGTGTCTGTGCTGCCGCTGGCTCTGCTCGGCTCCTGGAGCCTGCTGGGAGCCCGGGCCTCGTGCTCCAGGAGCTCCCAGGAGCTTTCCAGGAGCCTGGAGCAGTGCTGGTTAATGCCACCCCAGGAGAGACGGCTGTGCCGTCTGTCTGCCAGCACTGCACCAGGGAGGATCCATCCCATGGGATGTGGGGAGCTAAAGGCCCCCCAGCACTGGTATCAGGCTGCCACTGCCAGCTGGAAAAAGGAGCAGCTCCATGAAATCAGCAGGAGAGAATTAAGCAGGGATCCCCTAGACGTGGGCGCGCTGGATGTGGAAGTGCCTCCTTCCTCGAAGTGCTGAAACCATGGCATTGCAGCATTCCCAGAGCAAACCATGGGCAGCCTTGTGCTCCCAAAGGGCTGTTCTCAGGTGCGAGGGGGCAGGTGACTGACCCCACTCCCTCCAAACAGAGAAGGGAAAGGGAATGTTTCAGCTTACATGAAGCAAAATAATCCACGTCAACCTGAGGCATTTTCCAGGGCTGTGAGCACAGCAGGAGCGCAGGAGAGTGGCAGTGCCCCTTGGATCCCAGAGCTCCCCTTGGATCCCGGCTGCCTCGTTTCTCCCCTTTGCCACCACGTCATCTGTTTCTGTTTTCAGCGCCTGGGAACCCCTGATTCACCCCATCCCACGAGGATGCTTCCCGGGGCTTGGGAGAGTGTGGGAGGGCTGGGGATCGGGGCAGGGGAGCAGGATGCCCCCCCTCTTCATGCTCCATCCTTGCCGGGTGCCTGGGCCGTGCGGGTGCGGGTCCCCCGGCCTGGGCAGGGGGTCCCTGAGGCGGGGGCACCTCCGCCCGCCGCTGTCTCCCTGGCTCGGCGGCTCCGCATCCAGCTCTCCTGTTGCTCAGAGATGTGGAGGCAGTTGCTAAGAGACACCGACACGTCAGTATCTGGCCCTAAGGAAAAAAAGAGGAAAAAAAAAAAGAGACAGAGAAAGAGAGAGACAAGGGAGGACGAGGAGGAGGAGGGGAGGAAGGAGGTGGGGAAAGACCTGCTCCCATCGCCAGGCTCGCAGCAGCCTTGGCCGCTGCTGCCGAAGCCCAGCTCCCGACTTCGCGGCCTCCGGGGTGTGGGCGGCCACCGGGGACCCCCCCATCACCGTCCGGAGCCCCCTACATCGCCACTCAGGACCCCCACATCACCGCAGGGAGCCAGGCCCTGCTCCCTCCCTGGCCAGTGAGTACCCCGGGGCACCCCGGCCTCGCCGGAGGGGTCGGGGCGCTGCGGGGATGGGGCGTGGTAAGGTGGGCCAGTGGGAGAGGATGGAGCTGGGGGGATGCGAGCGAGGGAGGATGGAGCAGACATGGTCAGGTGGTGGGGGGCGAGGGCAGGCCTGGGGGGACCCCGGTGGGTGCTGGGAATGGGGATCTTCCCCCGGGAGCGAGGCAGGGAGGGTGTCCCTGGCGTCGGGCTCAGCTCGTGGTGGAGGGCGGCTGGTGGGGGCTGCCGGGGGCTGCCGTGGAGCAGCACCTCTGCTCTGCCCACCACCGGCTAGGATGGGCTGGCCAAGGTCAGCAGGACTGGGGGGGGGGCCCTTTTCTGCCGGTAACCCCCATGGGATGCTCGGAGGAGTGACCCTGGCCCGGGGGACACGGGGAGGGTTCCCAGAGGCCACCTCGGGCTGCAACAGCTGCGGCCCCCCCTGCGGGGCGTGTGGCCAGCACGGCTTCCCCCCTGTGCTCTTCCCCGCAGGCAGCTGCTGACGGCCCGACGCCGGCCCCGCCGGTGTCCCCGGAGGGGTTGGCGTGGCCCCCCGGATGCCGCCGGGATGCCGGGAACGTCGCTGTGACCGCCGGGAGCCCGGCCCCGCGGGCGGCCGCCGGCAGCGCTGGGCGTGAGCGGGCGGGCGGGATGGCCCCCGGCGCCCCGTGAGGGCCGCGGCCACGAGGCCATGCTGCTGGGCCCCTGGCTGCTGGCGGCGGCGGCGGCGGTGGCGGCGGCGGGCGCGGGCTGCCCGGTGCTGTGCAGCTGCCGCGGGCAGGCGGTGGACTGCAGCGGGCAGCGCCTCTTCTCCGTGCCCCCCGAGCTGCCGCTGGACACGGGTAACCTGAGCCTGGCCCACAACCGCATCGCCAGCATCCCGCCGGGCTACCTGGGCTGCTACGGGCAGCTGCGTGCCCTCGACCTGCGCAACAACTCGCTGGCGGCTCTGCCGGCCGGGCTGTTCCGCGGCGCCCGGCGCCTGGCGCACCTGGACCTCAGCTACAACAACTTCAGCCTGGTGCCCGCCGACATGTTCCGCGAGGCCAGCGCGCTGCTGCGCCTCGACCTGAGCCACAACCCGGGGCTGCGCCGCGTCCACCCCCAGGCCTTCCGCGGCCTGGCCCAGCTGCGCGAGCTGGACCTCAGCTACGGCGGCCTGGCCGCCCTCAGCCTCGACGCCCTGGAGGGGCTGCCCGGCCTCGTGGGGCTGCGCCTGGGGGGCAACCCCTGGCTCTGCGGCTGTGCCATGGAGCCCCTCCTCAAGTGGCTGCGGGGACGCATCCAGCGCTGCTCCTCGGGTAGGTGCTGCCAGGACCCCCTTGCCCTGTCCCGCCCGCAGCCGGCGGCCGGGCTGACGCCATCCCTCCGTCCCGCAGATTCGCAGCAGGCCGAGTGCTGGGCTCCCCCCGAGGTGGCCGGAGCCCCGCTGCTGTCGCTGACGGAGGAGAGCTTCCAGGCCTGCCACCTCACGCTGACCCTCGATGACTATCTCTTCATCGCCTTCGTCGGCTTCGTCGTCTCCATCGCCTCGGTGGCCACCAACTTCCTGCTGGGCATCACGGCCAACTGCTGCCACCGCTGGAGCAAGGCCAGCGAGGACGAGGATGTTTAGGGACCATCACCGCCGATAGACCCCCGCCCCGGCCACGCCCCGGCCCGGCCGCCCCCGCGGGGACACCAGACTGTGCCTTGTCCGCGTCCCCTCCCACCGCCCCCCGCCCGTGCTGGGGTGGCCCTCGAGACGCCGGGGACACCAGGGGACAGCCCTGCTTCCTTTTGCCCCAAAGTGGGGAGTTTTTGCACCCCCCATCACCGTGAGCTTGGACCCCCTCCTGTGCTGTTCCCACTGCCCAGGACTGGTTGAGGCAGCGATTTGGGAATCCCCGGGAACCCCCCCACCTTTGCCTTGGAGAGACAAAGTGTGTGTGTCTAGGGGACCACAGCCACTCTCCTGGGGGCATTGAGGAAATCCCTGCTTTCAGCCCCAAAGCAGCACCGCTGGAACCCCCCAAATCCTGCACATACTTTCCAGCCTTCCCAAAAATCCAGGGGAGCAGGAAGCGATGCTGAAACCCAGCTCGTCACCACCGTTCCAGGGCATGCCTGCACCTTGCTGGTGATACCAGGATATGCTGGAACAGCACTGGGACCACTGAGCCTGGCAGTGGGATGGGCTGTGACATCTCCAGGGGATGGAATCTCCCAAGGATGGCACCTTCCAGGGATTGCATTTCCCAGGGATGACATCTCCCTCCTCTTCGGGGCCAAACCGGGCACCAGCATTGCCTACCCTGGGGGAGGTTTGGAAGGTGGAAGGAGCTCTAAGGGCAAAAAGAAAAAAAAGCAAAAAGCAGAAAGCCAACGACCCTCTGTCCAGCTGGGATGGCCATGTCCCCAGTGCCTCTGTCACCTGTCCCTGGTGTCTGTGTCACCCTGTCTCTGTGGGAGCACATCAGGTGGGGAGCGAGGCTGGGCGCTCACCCGGGGACTGTTTTGTCCCTTCCCCTGTCCCCCATGGAGGCTGAGTGCACAAGGAGGGGGGTTTGGTTTAATTGCAACCCACCCCAAAAGGGCTCCAGCTGCACCCCAGTCCCAGCGCTGCCCCCGGGAAAGGGAACTTGGCCTCTGCCTTCTCTATTTTGTCTGGATTTTTATTATTTTCCTTTCAGTGAGTCCAAGAACCTCCCTGCTCCACACCCCCTGCACCCCTCACAACTCCTGCACCCCTGCACCAGCCACACGGACATGGAGCATCCACCTGCATCCCACTGACTCCTTCCTCTGCCTCACCCTCATCCTCTTCTTTTTGTATTTATATTTATGTTTTATTTTCCTTCTCTTTTGTTTCTCCTTGTATTTTGATTTTATTGTCTTTTCTCTTTTTTCT